CATCAGTGGGGTGTGTCCTTAAAGGTTTGTCAGCAGTCAAACAGTGAAAGGCCACTGCTACAGGACCCCACTTTGACTGGTTAAGACTTAACAAGTCCTTTGCTGAGTGAGGATCTGAGAAGCCGGCAGACAAAGTAAAGAAAGACAGAGAGGGACTTTTTTTCCTCGGCAGACCGACTTCCTCCACGGCTCAACAATGGGAGTGAAACATCAGAAATCTTCTGCTCCAAATCTCGAGAACACCACCTTCAGGGTCGGGATTTCGAGGAAATGGATGCCAGGTTTATGCAACTTGAAAACTACACAAACTTTCAACACTCTTTGGAGTCATTTTGTCCTAAGAAATAGGTACTTCGTCATAGTTTAACAGATTAAACAGATGCTTTTCTGGTACTGTGGTCACTCACATCTCCTTATCACTTTTCCAGCCCAGCTATAGATTCTGTATCCGTTGGACGGAGAACTGATAAGGGCATGTGCATGACATTACCTACAGATACTGAAGAGGTAACATCTGAGCCACAGAGCCTGTGGGGTAATTCAGTCATTGAGTTTATTACTGGTGAAACATGCTGAATGCTAGTTTCTGTGCTTTCTGATTTATGTTTGCATTTTAAACATGTTGGGAGTCGTTAGAATGGATAGAGTTTCATGTTTTAAAATGTGGCTTTAAAACAAGGAATGGGGTTTGTGCGAATGTATAACTATCTACAATGACACTTATGTAACCTTGCAAATTTGTGATCTGTCTAGAGTGACTTATTAAAAAAAAAAAGATTTGCGTGTTTGGGGCTCTGCTGTAAGACTTAACACAAGAACAGTTGAGTTACAATACTGAAAGCTTGGTTTCCACGACACAAAGTTTAGAAAGCAACAGGGTCTCAGCCTGACATGACACAGCATGACTAGCATAATCCATTGACTGTACATGGAAAATGACATAACTGCTGAATGTGAAAAAAAAAAAAAAAAACTAGGTGAGTAACTTGAATGTGATGCGTGCCAGCGTACTGACATGACTTTCACACCCACAAACATTTTTACACTTTAATTACAGCTGAGTGGGCCTGACATAAGGATCATACTGCATAAGAACTATAGGAGAAAGAAGTGTGGGTTTAAAGGCGTTGATACAGAAAAAAAAAACGTATGCGATGTCTTACAGTTTGCAAACTCAAATATTCAGGATGGTCAAAGGAATTACATTCACGTCACTAAATCTTGTACTTTTAAAAAGCAGTTTGAATTGTTCGTATCAAATGACAGATCCCTCCAAACACCTGAGAATTTTCCGCTTCTTTTCCTCGTCTTTTAACTCTTAAAATCTATGAACGAGAGAGTCATTTATATCAGAATGGGGTCTTATTCGCTGTTTTCATCATTGCCAAATGTGCTGATAAATGGCTGCGCAATTCTAGGTTTGTATGACTACAAGCTTCAAATATTGCAGATACTTTACAGCCATAACTTCCCATAAATAAAAAAGAAAATGTATAAATGCATTGAAAGTGTTGAGTCATTACACGTGTTGACACTTGTCGCCAGATTTATTGCCAAAAGATTTTTAACAGCTGGTGGTTTCTTGCTTTACACTTATTTATGTTACCTTCAGTCTTTAAGTTAACTCTCAACTTAGAGAACAAAAAGTACACGACATCACAATTTTCTTGTAAATGCACACACACACACACACACACACACACACACACACACACACACAAACACAACACACACACACACACACACACACACACACACACACACACACACACACACACACACGAGGGCTCTCAGTGAGTTGACGAGTGTTTTGGACTTACAGTACTGGGTGTATCCAACTAGCTCTCTGCCCCTCAGGCATCTACTCTCTCTCTCTCTCTACACCTGGTAGACAACTCTCTCCTGTCAAGTACAACAATCTTCCCACGGCTGCTAGCGCTTAAGGTCACTTCCTTTGGTTCAGCCCTGCTTCAACACATTCTACCTCTCGGTTTTCTTGTTTACCCAATAGAAAATCAACCACACCAAAATAAAATAAAATAAAATAAAATCCTTTTACAATGTGTCAGTAATTGTTAAATGCCATGAATAAAAGCAAATGTTATATATGAGAACATGCTGTCAAAATAAGCCCAAATGGCAGAATAATAAGTAATTATCACCTTGTTCTCATAATGATATAGCTGTAATGCACAGGTACACACTGGGGTACCTGTGCAAATTATTAAGTATGCAAAGTATACAGAGTATATATAAAATAAAGACTAAGCAACACCAATGATTTTAATAAGTGCATACTGAGTAGAGTAAATAGTGCAAAATCTGGTTCTGCAAACTCTATAAAAATTTGAGCAGGAAAGAAATCTTATTGCACATCAAATTGTGTATTGTGATGTGCAAGGCTGTAAAGATTAGCACTTTATTTGCCCATATAAACAGGGTCGCTGAAATGCCAAAAAACAGCAGGGCTGATAAAGGCATGGCAGGCTGCTGTGCTTAAGACAGACCAACCATGGAAGCACTGAGGTCCCACAGCTTCTTGGCTGCAGCATCATTCAGGGCCTGTGGTGCTGGCTTTTTGGGAGCACAGTCGCTGTACGGTGGAATGAAGAAAAGAGATAAATCATGAAGAGTGTCATACAGTGTGGTTGCAAACTGCTTGTATTAAAAACCTTTTACTCTATTGTTGTTTATCTCAGCCTCTGTTAATATTAGAATAATTAATTGGTAGGATAAGAGCATTTCTTTTTCTACTGTGAGAACATCATTGTTCTCCAGTCAGATGTACTTGCCTGTAGTAGAGGCCACTGGAGTTTGCCAGGCTCTCGTCCACAGCACAGTAGATGGTGGTCTGGGCTCCTTCCCAGGGATTTTTGACCAACTTCATGAAGACCTTTGCTAGCATTATCTTCCACATAGGAAATGAATTAAATAGATGGCGGCCTAACTCTGTGCGGATGACCCCCGGATGAAGACTGTAGACGGTTACACCGCTGCCTAATGAGAGGTCCATCAGAAACAGGCGTGCGTCAAACACCGCACTAGTGTAAAAATCATGGTAACAATGCTCATTAACTCAAGATACAAAGATAGAAAACAAGAGGTAAAATGGTTATTTGTAACATACTGTATGTTATACACGTGTCTGAACTCCTGTCACACTACCGTTCAGTCTTGTAGCCAGTTCTTTGCCAAAGAGAACGTTGGCCAGCTTGCTTTGTCGGTAGCTCTTCTGGGGGGTGTAGTCTTTATCAATGTTAATGTCATCAAAGTGTATCTGACCTGCAAGAAATTTATTTTAAACAGGTGTGACAAAGAAAAATCTTTGGTTGTTTGACTTTAGCACCAAGATTTTACCTCTCTCATGCGCCAGGCTGGAGACTATCACAATGCGACTTGGTGCCGACTTCTTCAGCAGGTCAAGGAGACAGTTGGTGAGAAGAAAATGTCCCAGGTGGTTGACGCCAAATTGCATTTCAAAGCCGTCTTCGGTCTTCCACTTAGGACACATCATAATACCTAAAAAAAAAATTGAAAAAAAACAAAACAAAACAAGAAAGTAAGAAAATTACAAAAAATAAAAACATACAAATAACTAATTTCTCAGTGTCTGTCAGTATCATTCAACCCCAAATAACTTATTCTACCCTCCTAAAAATCTGTATGAGGATCCCATAAAGATGACAACATTTAACTTCTACTAACTGACTAAGGCAGTGGTTCCCAAACTTTTTTTGCTGGGCCCCCTTTGTTTAACAAGGAAAATGTTGCCCCCCCCCCATGCGTACTAACACATCCTCCAACCACACACACCCATATTTTGTTCCATTGCAGTTTATTTCACACCTCAAACATTTAGTAAACAATTAAGCAAATACAAGTAATCTGCAATAAATGACAGGTAGTAATGAAATAAACTACCAACTCTTTTACGCTACGGCCGCACCTACACGGGTATTTTTGAAAACGCAGCTGTTTCGTCCACACATAAACGGCGTTTCAAATCACCGAAAACTGAGATTTTTTAAAACCCTTTTTTTGCGTTTACGTGTTGTCAGAGATTTACAGTTAACAAACAACAATGAGACACTTGTGTAGGTTAACGTGCTGCACGGGTGAAAAGCTCAGAGCAAATCACACCGAACTGAAGTATTTGTTTATTTTTATAGGTTACATCGTCAATATGCAAATATAATCACATTTCCTGTTACGCAGGTCCTGATGTCTGTCTGCATGCAAGCTGTGTGTGTGTGTGTGTGTGTGTTGTGTGTGTGTGTGTGTGTGTGTGTGTGTGTGTGTGTGTGTGTGTGTGTGTGTGTGTGTGTCACAAAGTATGTGTGTTGCAAGTCAATTTCTAAGAATAATATAATGCAAGTCAACTTCTGCGGATATGTATTTCTGTGCTGGTCTCTTGTCAGTGTCACAGGGTCAGCTTCCTGTTTCTACAGAAAACTGTCTGGTGAAATATGTATAACATAACTTTTGAAGCATAAGCAAATAAAACAATAAAAACTCCCTAACACGTGTGGACGAGGAATACAGAGTTCGTCACGCAACGTCAAAGGTATGTGCCTTTTTTCACGTCACGCTGTGCGCCACGTTATTGTTTACATGAGATGAATTGCAGAATGGCAGATAGAGACAAAATACTGTTTCTGTTAATCTGACTATCTGCAGGTTTACACGCAGTTACTGTCCCTCCATTTAGAAAGGCAGAGGTGTCATGGTGTGATTATTTTACTGTAGTTGTTTTTTTCCCTGTGTAATAATATTCAACATTGCTATCAATACATTTTTCAAAAAACATGCCTCTCTGTGCAAAATGGGTTTAAAAACATAAACAGCTGTGGGATACTGTTAGTCCGTGATTTGAACCGGGGGGACAAATCGTGGCAGGATCAGCCTGATATTATTTGTATCCCGCTGTAACTTTACTGTATAAAGAGCTAACATCTCCAAAATGTCAGGAGTAGTTAGTCATTACAACAAGTGTTTGTGAACTAAAAATCAAGAATGTGGGATACTGTTTGTCCGTGATTTGAAGAGCCCAGTGGTGCTCCCGACGAAGGGAAAACCAGTTCTGCAGGGGAGACCTACCTCGGCACTTGTGCAGGTGAAACCAAAGGGCAGATATGCTTCACCAGATTTTCTAGTCTTTGGCTTAGAATGAAGTTGGTTTAGAAACATATTCAGCTATGCTTCATCTCCTGCTTTGCTTTTCTGTGGGCGCCCCGTGATAGCAGTGACCAAGCGTTTTATTTTTTTCCTTTTCATACCACGCACCCCTGCCATGGCTCTGCGCCCCCCCTAGGGGACGGGCCCCACACTTTGGGAAGGTCTGGACTAAGGTAAGGCAAGTTTATTTATATAGCACATTTCAACAGCAAGGTGATTTAAAGTGCTTTACAGAGACATTTAAAAAAAACAGGTAGAACTGCTGCAATACCTGCATTGTTAATGAGGATGTCTAAGCGCTCCTCATTCTTTTCCACATCTTTGGCTAAGTCTCTGACAGACTGTAGTGAGGCCAGATCAAGCTTCTTTACCACCACATTGCCATTCCCACTCTTCTGACGGATCTCATCTGCTGCAATACGGGCTTTAGTCATGTCCCTGCAGGCCAGGATCACTCTGGCCCCTTGGAGAAAAAGAAAAAACATACAAAAGCAACTCATATGTACATGTAAACACCAGAGGATGTGCAACCAAAGTACTAGTTGAGGTTACAGATTTATTTTTACCTACTGTCATTGTCATTGATACTTATTATTTAATATTCTATCATTTCTTGGTTGTTACTGAATGGTTATTATATAATATTCTTCATTAAGTACCAAATGTCCAAAACAGGACTGTAGATATGGTTTCTTTTTACACATCTATATAGAGATTTAATTAAATCATTTTTGGCAGTGCTTCATTTAATTTAAAAAATGTAAAAAAAATAAATAAAAAAAAAAATGTCAGCAAAACCCTTCTATTAATTTTAAGTTAAGTAACTCTTAGGAGTCAATATCCAAATATAAGAGCGAAATCTTATTTTATGTGGAGCGTTTTCGTGCATGAATGGCGTGTTTAAGGTAATGTCAAACTATATTAATCATATTTAAGTCTGGATTTTGACTAGGGCACTCTAAAACCTTATCTTTTTATTACTTTATTTTTTGAAGCCATTCAGAAGTAGACTTTCTGATGTGTTCTGCATCACTGCTCTGCTGTATAACCCAAGTGACCTTGAGCTTCAGGGACAGATTGATGGCCGGAAAGCAGAATTCATGGTTCCAGACGGCTGATATAAAAACCAAGGATTTCAAACTCATTTTACACCACGGGCCACATACATTCCACTTAAGTGGTTTAGACCAGTGAATCTCCTCTGTCTGTCACTGTACAGATGTTTATCTGCATATTTAATCCTGGTGCTATTTTAATATGAGAAAAAGTAGTGCAATTATAACAGTGTGTCTTTTTTCTACACAATAGAAATCCAGCTTAAACTGAAATAAGTTGCGAAAATACAGAAAAACTTCTGGTAGCTCATTGTGCAGAAGGTTTTTGTTAAATAACAGAAAATTGTCTGTTTTCTTTGTTTTCTTACTGCGGACCCACTCTTTAAAAAAAAAAAAATTCTAGAGCAGACTTTGAAAAATATGAACTTTTCTGTCATATAACTGTATATAAATTAATTCATTGTTCTAGTGTAGCATGACATCATAGGCTGTAAAACCTATGATGATGCAGTTTAAAGTTAAGGTTAAAATTTATGCCATCCTTCACCAAAGAAGTCAAACCAATTCTGGCCCTGAGGATTTGACACCCCTGACCTACACCCATGTACAGGACGTGAGACACAGCCTTTGCATATGTTTTTGTTTTTCTGTACTTTTCTTTAACAAACAAACAAACATGGAGGGTCTTACCTCTCTGGGCCATGTCCAGGGCTGTCTCTTTCCCAATACCAGTGTTGGCTCCAGTGATGAGGACTGTTTTCCCTTCCAGCCTGGCCTTGCTCCGACACACTCCTCCTGCCATCCATCTGCGGAAGGCCAGCACGCCTACCCCTGACAAAAAAGATATTTATGCTATGAACAGGGTGTAAGAGAATGTTCTGAAGACTTTCCATTTGACCTTTTACTCTTATGTTTATTCTCAGCTAAATCAAGCAGCTACATACTGTTATATATTTCTAGAATTTCACACCTACGAGCAACAGCAATAATCTGTCATGACAGAACAAAGTGCTTACCTGATCTCCTTTCATTACCGTATCAGAAATCCTACTAAATGTGCAAGTTAACAAAGCTTAAACAATATGCATTTAATAAAGAATTAGGCTTACCTGCAACAAAGACAACCGTGAGGCAAGTTGCATGTCTCTCGGTGAAGTCCTTAACAGCCTCTGCGTAGTTTTGCATTGTTTAAGCAATTCTGGAACTTATATAAGAAGCTGAAATTTTAATATTGTTGCAGACTTGCAGTTAACGATCTGTTTTTGTGGAAGGAACTTTACGTCAGCTACCACAAACAACGGCGAAAACGACAAATACGTGTTTTCCCGTTTCGTATTTGTAACGATAAACTAGCCGGAAGTGGAGGGCGTGGTGGAACTTTAGGGAGATTTTTCAGAATAAGCTTTCGTTTAAACCAATCAATGATTTAAATCAATGACTGTAGAAAACAGTCATTGGTTTAAATATGTGTATTTCCTTGCTGTCATGTACGACATACTTGTTTTTGTTTTTGTTTTTTTGTTTGTTTTTGTTGGTTGTGTGTTATTTGGTTTTGGTTTGGGGTTTGTTTAAGCTTTCAAGTACAGTGAATATTTGTTTTGGCATTGTGGGGAAATGTATCTGGTAATATATATCAAAGATCAGAACATAGGAGTTCTGTGCAGCGTGCTTGTGTAATAGAATGCCACGCAAAACACACCCATCAAGAGACAATAGGGCGTAATGCGGCAGCTTGCTGACTCATGTACTAAAGAGTTTACTTAAAGCAGCCATTCAGCTTGTGCAGGCATGCTCTAAATGTCAGGTAAAATACATTTTTAAATATGCATTGCAAAGTAGAACCTTGGTTGTGTATTACTTTGTTATGATTTATTTTTGTTTGTTTGTTTGTTTGTTTGTAATGGTAGTAATAGTACTATTATGTGCTCAGGATACACCGTGTACTGAATTATGAGCATCTGTTTGCAGTGAGTTACTCTCACTATAGCATAAGGTATAGAAATACTGCTTGCCTCGTCAGACATCTCTCACAGGGATTTTCAAATTAAAACACCATGTAAAACAGATTTATACAATTTTAATTAATGATTTGACGTAACACTGTCATTAGTAGAAACAGATGAAATTAAACTGGTAGTCATCTTAGAACCTTTGAACATTAGTGAATGATTTAACTACTGATTAAGTACATTTGTCCCATGAAAATATAATTTTACTAAAAACCTTTACTGGTGCCAGTAATAATATATAGTAATAATTTTGCATGCAAATTAATCTACTTTGGAACTCAAAATTCACTTGACTTCCCTTATTTATTAAAATTCGTTTGTCTATTCGTTTCCAGCTTCTTTTGTTAATCCCGTGCCCTTATTTTGAAGGGGGAAACTTGTTGTAATGCTCTGTTATTGGTTAAAATCTCTGTACAGCTGGTTAAGCGTATTTCTTCGCTTTGTGGGTCTAAATTTGTGTTAAAATATTTTAAATTGCGTTAAAAGCCTAAATTGGGTCTTGTCTGTCTTTATATTACGTTTGGAAGAAGTTGGATTTTTTTTTTCAAATAAAAAAACTAAACAACAGTGTCCCGGAAGTTCTTCATGCTCGCGCCACGTCAGAACTACAAACTGTTAACATCATTGTTGAATAGTGAAGAATAGTCTGTCTGCCTGCACCTTCTCTTTGTTGTCGCGATGTTGTATTTGTCACTCACCTGTTTGCTGCTGTTGAATGCATGTGTGGTGTCTGGGACTGAGATCACATTTGAACTGCCTGACAATGACAAGCAGTGTTTCTACGAGGAGCTGGAGAAAGACGTGAAGTTTGACATAGACTTTCAAGTAAGTTCCTCTGAGAGCTCCATCACGTCAGTGTGTGCACTTAGCAGATGCTGTCAGACTAATTTTTAGGCTGAAGTTTTTTTCTCCGGCTTCCAGAAATCAAGAACAAATTTATAATTGTCTATTAATCGTAAAATAGTGCAGAATGCATATTTTGATTTACTTAAATTTGGCTCCGTTTTTTTCAATCAATTGAAAACATATGTTATCTCAGATTATTTTCCGTTTCAAGATAAAGACTTTTAAAGAGAAGCCCAATAATTCCCAGAGGAATAGCTGGAACCACACACACAGCCACATCCAATAACTTCAATATATTTAACAGCGACGCAACGTTGCAACTTTCTTTCCTTCTATATATGTTTTATTTTCTCTTAGGTTATTTCAGGGGGCAACTATGATGTGGACTGCTTCGTCACAGATCCTCATGACAATGCCTTGTATAATGAGAAGAAGAAGCAGTATGACAGCTTCTCTCACACCACAACTATGAAGGGAGTCTACAAGGTTTGCTTCAGCAATGAATTCTCCACTTTTACACACAAAGTAGTGTATCTGGACTTCCGCCACGGGAATGAGGAACCCATTCTGGACAGCATGAAAAGAACCACAGCTCTGACTCAGGTCAGTAATGAACACGGTGCTTTCAGTGTGTCAGGTGCAGTTTGTTTGTTTTTTTTAAGAACATGCTGGATTACTTGATAGCTAATTTATTACCTTATCAATGTTTAAACATTGCTGCCTTCAATTAGACAAGCATGCCTTGAGAAGACAGAACTGCAATGTCATATCACAGACGTTTGTATCATGATTTGAATCAGAAAAAACAGGATGTATTTTGACATGAAAAATGAGTACAGACATATCAGTTATGCTTAGTAAGGTGATAACAAGTAATCTAAAATCGGTATAGTATTTTTGCTGCTTTAAAGGTGTTTATATAATGTCCATAAGGTGGTGCAAGAGTTATTCACATTAAGCTCACAAGGAAATATTGTATTTAAATGCACTCTCCGTTCCTGGAATTACACAGATCACCCAAAAGAGGAAATGTCAACAGTTTGACAGCATTGTTGCTTCTCAAAACACAGAGTATAACATCTGATAAGCCATACTTTATTTCTCAAAAGAGTTTGGAAATTCCTTTGATGCAACTTAAAACCAGCATTTGTTGTTAATCTCAAGAAATGTATCAAAAATAACCTAAATAAGTAGAATGGTATGTAGGTCAGTAGAATATAGTATGACATAACAGATATCTTAAATATAATAAAGTAAAATAAATATTGATTTAAATAAATATATTGGGTAATAATAGCAAGTATAGCTGATTTGCAAAAAAGCTGAAATTAACCAGAGCTAGAGGAGAGTTTAAAATGGTTTACTAAATATAAAAAGTGGTATGGAGTAGCAGATACCAGATTAAAATCAATCAGTGTAAAATGCAGTGGGGTTAAAGAGGTTGAGTGTTTATTGTTAAGAGTTGTGACTGTGCATTTCATATCAGACTATAGGATAGCATAGTGTTACTACTCTTTAATTCAAGTACTGAGACCTCTAGGGTCAAATGTATAGTGAGTTTATGTGACTCTGATCTGTGCGATCCACCTTCTACTGTACATATTGATGAATTTCCATTAATCTTTCTGTTATCAGTTGGAGTCGTCTTGCGTCGCCATTCATGAGATCCTGAAGGTGGTGGCTGACTCGCAGACATGGTACAGGCTGAGAGAGGCGCAGGATCGCACAAAAGCAGAGCACCTGCTGGAGCGCGTCACCTACTGGTCCATCGGAGAAACCGTCCTGTTGTTTGTCATCGGCATCGGTCAAGTCATGATGCTTAAGAGCTTCTTCTCTGACAAGAAAGGCTCTGTGGCAGCTACCACTTAAACCAAGGTCTCAGTGTGCCATAAGAAACTCAAGTGGAAGCTTGCTAATGTGAACACATATTGTTAGTATTTTCATCAAAGCCAATGGTAAATGGATAGATCAAGGAGTTTTCACATTCCTGTCGGGCAAAACTTGAATTCAGGTTTTACACAAGTTGTTTTCATTCAACAACTTTCTACTGAAAAGAAACCCCACTCATGTCTGTGTTTAAAATGCAGTTGACATCTTTCAGCCTTTAGAGACTTTATTTTTATAGAGGTGGACGAGATGGCATGTTTATTTTGATCTGCCTATTAAGTAGCCTAGTTTCACTTATAAAAGCAGCTTTGTGGATTTCTGTCATCTGTAGTAGTATCACACATAAAAACCAAAGAGGAATTGTGTTTAAATTTGAGTTTTATTTGTTGTATAACATCTGTTATATGTATTGTTACCTTAATTTATGTGTGCAAAATCATTATGAGCTATGAGAGCTCCGTTTCTCTCATTTCTTGTCTGTTTCATACGGAGTGGCTTAGGCATTTGTTTTTTCCTCATGCCAACCAAGTTGAAGTTTACTGTTTTAATTTAAATACATATAACCTGATACATATACACGCAACTGCTGTTTTTTTGTTTGTTTGTTGTTTTGGATTCTCATTTATATGTTTTACATTTTCTTCACTGGAAAGTCACCAAGTATCAACCAGATATCATTTTTTGCACAAATAGTTTCTTTGACATTTCAATTCGATTTGAAGACAAATTATTATTATTTTTTTTTTAAATACGGCTGTGTAGGTTCTCAGTCATCCAGGTCATGATAGTCTCAAGCACTTGAGTGGAAGGTAACTGGATGTCTTTTTTGGGTTCTTGTTTCTCACCTCTCATCTTAGAGGCTTCTTCAGTTCTGACCAGAGCATTTTCAGATGAGAGGTGAAACATCTTCATTAACCTGAAAGAGGGTTACTTTCAGCCAATTATGAGAGTAATCGTGCCACAAAGTTTTTAGACATTGTCAAATTAAAGTTTGGCACCGAGTGTTGTGATATTTTTTAAAATCCAATGATACTCGATGTTATTTAATTTTAAAAATTTAGAGATTAAGGAAACTATAGATTGTAATTAAAGCTATTCTAACAGTCTTTAATACTTTAGGTCTCCATGTTTTCAAGAAGTTCCATTGGAAACTCTAATCCTAATGTCCTGCCACATTAAAAATGTATTTTGCTTATTGCAGCTTGACTTGAACATTTGACTTTCACTGTGCATAATGCTATATAGAAATGTGGCAAATTAAAGGAAAACCCAACACAAGGTGTCTCAGTAGGGTGTTTGGCCATAATGTCAAATCCCCTGTGTGCTCTTTGGCAGTAAATGTCCTGTGGAAGTTACTGCGAAAATAAGTCAGAAGATATAAGATATTATTTACATAATTTTTCAAACTTATCAAATCAGTCAGTGAGCCCTCATACTCTTTTTATTGGGCAGCCGATGTTGGGGGGGCAGTAACATCAGGAAAGAAGTGTTTAAGCATGTAATAAAGGTGATCACTGAGAACAATTATTTGCAGCGAATCCAAGTAGTTTGATTGTAGTTTGAAGTGGATTCAAACTCAGTAAAAAGTTGCCAGAGGCATTACAGAGACACT